AAAATGGTGTACGCTTGAATTTATAGTGCAGTATCCTTCGGGGGTCTTCATAGGCTTGAAATCGAACAGCACCGCTTGAACATTGCGTAACACCCTACCGTGCTTCGTGTCACAGAGTGCGGGGGGCAGCTGAGCGGGCCGAACGGCGTCATCCGCTCCCCGAACGACACCCTCCTGGCGAGGCTGCCCGGCCGCGAGCCGTCCTGCGAGTGGGTGGTCACCGCGCGCCGCGGCCGCACGCTCGCCGTCACCGTCACGTCCCTCGGCATACCGCCCGAGGCCGGCGACGGGCGCGCCCCTGGCACCTGCGGCAACTCTTACCTGCTGGTGAGCGTTTGAGGGGCTATATACGCCCTCTTGAAGACGCGTGCGACAGTCCTGACTCACTGTTTTGCAACCAACAGCTGAAGAACGGCGAGAAAGCGGACTCCCCGCTGCTCGGCGCCGGCAAATACTGCGGCAACGACCCGCCCGCCAGCGTGCCCGAGACCTCGGGCAACAAGCTGTACGTCAAGTTCCGCCGCCACACCGCCAGCGCGGTAAGCGAATAAGAGAAGGCGAGTGGATAACTCCCGAATTGGGTGTACAAATTTCAAGGAATGAATTTGAATTGGCCTGAATTGAATTGATTTGGACTGAAATGGTTAAATTGTTTTTGAATTAGTTTGAATTATTATGATTTTATTTTACTGAATTAGCGTGAATTGAATTGAATTGAATATAAATTGTCTCAAATTAGACTGGATTGGTTGAATTATTTTTGAATTCGTTTAAACTATTTCTGAATTGTGTTGAATTAAAATGAATTGGTCTGAATTAGTTTGAATTGGGCAGAATTAGGGGTGTACACTCGTTCGGTGTTTCACCTGCTCTTTTCCCATTATCAGAGCTTTGTCCTCCGCTACGAGGAGAAGAGCAACGACTGCAGCCGGGAGGTGCGGCTGGGCGAGGGCGACGCGCGGGCCATCAGCTCGCCCAACTACCCGTCCATCCCCGAGCCGCACGTCGAGTGCGTGTGGGTGGTGGTGGCGCCACCGGGCCGGCGTGTCAGGCTGGACTTCACGGGCCGCTTCGACCTCACCAACTCGCCGCAGTGAGTGCTGATGGGCAGCTTCGATACGACATGGTCCGATATCGGAGGCTAGATATTCTCCCGATATAGATATCGGATCGGAAAAGCGAGGTTGCAAAATATTACGATTTATAGCGAAATATCGTCTATTTTCGGTTCTCGGTACTGTTTGATATTTCAAAATTATGCGATATCGAGACTCGTGCATCGAGTCGATGTTCGATACTCGGTCGATATCGTAAGACAATATCGAAATTTGGATATCGCACAGCCCTAGCGAGCTGACGGCGCCGCTCTCTGCGTCCCCCAGGTGCCGGGACAGCGCGGTGGAGCTGCGCGACGGCGCGACGGACGTGGCGCCCGTCATCGACACCTTCTGCCGGTCCGCGCCGGGCACGCAGGAGTCCACCGGCAACGTCCTCCGCGTCCGGTACTTCAACGACGAGGACGTGCCCGCCAACGGCTTCAACGCCTCCGTCTCCGTCGGTGAGGACATCGTCGTCCCGGACGCGGCCAAGAGCGTCATGCACTATACGGTTGTAAAAGCGACGCCGCGGGGTGAACCAGTTGGATATTCCATGTACACACTGAAAATTATTCCAAATAATGTTCCAAATCATTCCGGTTATTCCAAAAATATTCCAGATATTATTCCACCGAACATTTTCTAGATAGAATATTCCAGATATTCCATATGTACAGCAAAAATCTGAGTGGACGACCCCTCGAGCGTCGCACTACAAAATAGTCGGGCCTAACCGTCTCGCCTCTGTTCAGCCACCTGCGGGGGGACCATCCGCGGCTCCGAGGGCAGCATCGCGTCCCCGGGGTACCCGGACAGCTACCTGCCGCAGACGCGCTGCGAGTGGCGCCTGGAGGTGCGGCCGACGGCCACCATGACCCTGCAGTTCCTCGACATGAGCATGCCCGGGCTGATGGGACGCCGCTGCCCCGACCAGGTCACCGTCATCAGCAAGGCCAACCCCAACAACCCCAACGAGACGGGTGAGCAGCAGCTGTCCCCGCCGGGTGTCCGACTGTTCACGCAGAAAAATGAGTTAGCTATTTTACCTAATTGTTGGTAGCTGGCACCTTTTAGCTATCGAGCTAAGTGTATTAGCTACGCACCTAAATATT